GGCATTACGTTCCAGAGACCGAGCCAACCCAAAGCAAAGGCAAGACAAATTGAGATCGTATTCCGGACAACCTGGGTTGCTGTTAAGGAACTTAAATTAAGTTACCATAATGGGTATAGATAGTAAATAAGATGGTTTCCCCAGTATAACAACTTCAATTAAGTTCCTTAACGGCAACCCAGAATCTGTCCTACCCGAACCCGCAGCGGCTGAACGAGCCATCATTGCGGACAGGGGCCCTTCTGCCTTGGCACCAAACGCAGCAGGCTGGTGAGTAGGCAGCCGGCTGTCCGGCCCTGAGGTAGCCCGGATGGAGGCGGTTGGTGGTGTTGGAGCTTCTGCAATGGGAGCTGCCTCTGACGGCCGCAAGCTCATTATGCTTCCGGATTGGCTAGGTGTATTTGGCGCGTCTGGCAGTGGGACGGCATCACTAGGAGGAGGTGTTGCGGTGGCAGCATGCTGACGACGCAACTTCCTCAGCGCTTGCGGGTTGAGTTTAAGCTGCTGGCAAGTTTTTCCGCATTGGTGCGTCTTGAAGAAGGCACGCATACCTTCCTGACCCAGGTCCCCCGGTCCGAACGACTTCTCCAGCGAAACGACTTGGGGATCTGTCCCCCCTGCAAGTCCAGGACCATGTGTTTGCCGCCACTGGCCTCGAAAGAGAAGTGAGAGAATGCCTGCGCAATTTCTGAGTCAGGAGCATCTGGATTCACGTAGCCGTGGTTGGAATTGTACTTGAGAAAAGCACCGGGAAGAAACCGCTCGGTGCAGGGCTTCCTTCTTTAGCTTCATAGATGTAGCACTCCACGAACAGGATCTTGGCCATGCTACGCCCCTTCCAGCCCAGCCGGTCAGCTGCAGCAAGCATGAATACGCGCGCATAGAACTTTGCAACTGCACTGCTCTTGGAATATGCGGCGACAACCTCAAAGGAATTGTGCCAGGGATCCTCGTACCTGGAAATCTTTGCCACCATGCGAGCATCAGTACCTGCAACCTTCATGGCCTGTTGGTGTCCACGCTGCTCTGCAAACAGAGGAATCGAGGAGTCTTTGAAGCAGTACACTAGGCACATACCACCTTGTGTGAATGGTTTTGCTCTGATCTGCACAAACTCCTTTCGGCGGGTGCGATATTCCTGCTTCTTGAAACTTTTGCCATCGTAGCTAAAGCCAATGCGAGTGCTGTCAAAACTGATAGACTGGTCATCACCCCACCTAAATTGGTTTGCCGGCTCAAAGCTCACATCTCTGAGTTGGCATCTCCTGTCTCCAATGTTGCATGGATTTTCTTCTTGACTGGAACGGCCCTGGCCATTTTTGAACGAGAACGTACTAGACCTGCTTGTGGCACTTGTAAGTGTCTGCGTCTGAGTGATGGTTGAGGTCACAGACGCAAAGGCACTGTGGAGAGCGCCTATGGAGCGGCCAGATGGGGCAAAACCCCCCCGTCCCAGCGACGTCAGCTGCTGCAACACCTCGAAGTCCGATCCATCGCCAAATCCGATAGCATGAATTCGCAGCGTGGGGAACTCAAGCAACATGTCCTGGACCATTTGGAGAGTTTGCATACCATCCGCTGGGCGACCATCGCTGAAGATCAGCAAGTGGGGCGTGCCAGGAGCCTTGTTGAGAACCTGAATCAAGGCTGGTTAGCCCCAAATACAAGAAATGCAAGCCGTCATTTCACAGTGAGGCTTAACTGTAGCTCAAAGCTTTGCTACCTCGACAAGGAAAGAGCTACATCAACCTTAACAGCAGACAGCCTCTGCAGCACCCGCAACAGCAATACACGAGCCGCCTGGACAAGCAATGGTATAGCAAACCACATCAACATTTCTGAAGTGCTGCCCTGAATTTACTGGCCGGCAATCCTATCATCACTAGTATACACTCCCGAAGTCATTTCAACCTCTCGCCCATGTTCCCCCCCATGCCTTCTTGGCAGCTGCCAAGCCTGCAACAAAGTGTGTGCCGTAGCCAGCGAAAAAGGCCTTGGCCTTGCCCACCTGATGCCATACATCAATTCTGGGATCCTTAAGGGGGCCCCTTATATGGGGGACCCATAGAGCCTTTTTAAGACCTCCCTAAGGCCTCCGTAAGGCTCCCTAAGGTTTTAAAAGGTATCCTATTATGGGGCCCTCTTGCATGGGTCTCCTTAGGGCTTCCATACATCAACAGCGACTGTTACAACTGCCACAACTCCAAGCCTGACAAAAAAATGCTCACACAAGTCCAAAACACAAGAACATCAATGAAGGCTGAGTGGAGTGCAGACAATGTAGTATATGGAGCAAAACAACACATGCAAAGACAGAACTGCTTGGATTCTCCACCTCTTAGACATGTCAAAAGGCGGTCGAAAAACACCACCGTCAAAAGCGCGCCAGTTCTTCACCACGACTCCTACTCCTTGTATTCATCCTTCTTATCCACTACTTCAAAGGTGATAGCACGTTCGTACGACTACTACTCCGTACTTCCACTTCGTTTCTACCGCTTGTTGAGCTGCAGTCCTGGCCTGCTGCATGGCCTCCGTGGCAGTCTTCTTGACGAAGTGTTGCGTTGCAGCTGCATTGAACGATAGAAGGGAGAAGAAGTGCGGGCAACTGGCAAGAGCTTGCTTCTCGAAGAAAGTCGCCAGCGTCTCTGCCACTGCGGACATCCGAGACACGCATATTTCGCCCTTGCCTGGTCTGACATCAATGGTCCTCATAGACCCCGAGGTGTCCACCAGGACGATGACATGGGCCTGCTGAATCTGCGAATTCATGGGATTTAGGCCACGCGCTTTGGGAGCTTGGCTGAAGGACCCCGGTAGTGGAGCAAGCTCATCGTTGTCTTCTTCCTCACTGTCACCCTCAATCTCCAGCTTTGAACAAGTGGCCTTTGAGTCAATCTGCACAAGCGCATTCTTCATGAATTCCAGCACCTGACCACTGTCATCATCCTGGTTCTCCACCGCAATGCTTTCCGCCTCAAGGATCTCATCATGCCAAACCTTTCCGGCATACTGCTCACCTCCTGCCCCGTGTAGGGTGTCATATTCACTCCAGCAATGCTCGCAGTAGAAAATCAAGGTCTGATCACACCATCCCTGCCTTCGTTCTTCGCACCAGGCACACTTGTCCACTCTTGCACGCAAGATGTCCGGATCAGGGTAAGCTGCCGGATTTGATGCAGCCTTTGCTTTGGCCTTGACCTTGGGCACGGCCTTCGCCTTGGCTTTAATCTTGGCCACTGCCTTGGCCTTACCTTGGGGCGGCATGGCACCTTCACAAATGTAGGGCGATGGCTTGTGCGTATCGCACCTGCCCTGAGCCCAAACAACGCGTAGTGGACACGAATCAGCTTTCTCTCGCTCCTGTTAGTCAGTCACTTGTTCTGCGCTGCAAGTCGGTTGCGTTTCGCTGTACGCACCGTACAGCTTGTGCAAGTTGGCAATGCTCAGCTTGAGTCAAAGGCTTAAATCCTGTTGCTGTTGAGGACTGATAACCATAATGCCCGCGAGCAACACTAGCAAGAGATCCTGAGTCGTGAACAAAATAGGAACCCAAACAAAACGCACCGGAAGCATGCCTCTGTAAACATGCGTGCTGAAACCCCTTTGCAAGCCACGAACATGTCTCTATGACAAGCCTTGTTCGTAAAGGCCCTAAATTGAAAGCGTGGCCGGGCTGCACAGCATCCAACACGGCACTTCCCCTGGGAGTGTCAGGCTTCTCAAACAGAAATCCAGCTGTGCATACCATTATTAATGGGGATACTGGCAAACAGAATGGAAACTACTATAGTATATTGGGAATATTAATGGGGATAGTGGACAAGAAAATGGGAGCTACTATGATATACTGGGGTTATTAATGGGGATAATGGAAAAGAACATGGAAAAACTAGAGTATTTCCTCATATCTCCAAGTACACCCCATGTGACAAAGCCGATGCACAACAAGCATAACATCCGAAGGATCACGGCAGTGGCAAGGGTTCGGGTTGACTCATTTCTGAGCAATCTCATGGTGATCGATCAGGTTTGAAAAAAAAAAAAAACGTTTTGGAGTGCTGCATTGCTGACGTTAGGTAGGGCTTCGGACTCTGAATTCTGTGCAATGGACAAAGGTTTGAGGGTCGGAGGTCTTATTCCTGTCAGGGAAACACTGTGAAGGGACATCTGTGTACAGCTAGGGCTCTTTCCTGTGTCTCTGACTACCGCAGATACAGAGTATGAGCATATGATATCTCCTCTACACGAGCAGTACAGCGGGATAGGATCGTCAGCGTTTTAGGTTCCAATACCACTGATGCATTTAAGAACTAAACACGCAGGTCGTGCAAGATTTCCTCCATCCCGCATCTTGAACAAGTGACGAAGGTTGTGTGATAGCTGCAGAAGAACCTTGAGAGTATCGACAAACTAGCGGCCCAGCTTTGTGAAGACACTCGGCAAACTCTTGACTACCAAGCCCTGGAATAGCAAAACTTTACACGCTGCGAGAAATGGCTCCAAACGCGAAAAACACTTGAAGTTGAACCCGCAAGCTTTAAAGCCTGAATCTGAAACACCAATCGACGTCGCCAACACCACCATCATCACAAACACTGCACTCTGACAATACCGATGAGTTCACCACTTGCATCACTGCCACCACTCAGCATTATCACTATCGTCATCACCATTTTCATCTTCAGCAGCAGCGGCAGCAGCAGCGAAGGGAGAAATTCAGGAAGAGAACGCGCCTCAAACCTTACATCCTTGGAGACTGAATACTCAAGCGGTTCCGGGGCACTGGCATGATCACAGCCCCACCAGCCATCAGGGGCAAGGTGGCAAGCATCAGCAATGCTATCTCCCAAGACCTTGCAGTGGGTAGCATGACAGTATGGGCGGTCGGTGTTTCTGTTCACACTTCTATTCTACTTTTACTCAATCCTTCTACTACTACTGCTGCTGCTGCTGGTACTGCTACTGCTGCTGCTCTTGCTGCTGCTGCTGCTACTGCTACTACCAGTACCCCCGCTACTCCAGGAAGTTCATCTTCTTTTTCAGCGTACCACGTTTACTGTACGTAGCATTGTATCTACGACAACTCTTCCCTGACAACTTCACTCTGAATAGCCCAACTCCATAGAGCCCCTAGGGGTATAATACAGAGTTTATATATATATATATATTTATTCATTTATCTATTTATCTATAATGGGATAATGGAAACGAAAACGGAAGCTACAATTTGATCGAGACCACCACAACATGACTAAGAATAAAAGAAAAAAAAAACAATATCAACAAAAGTCTACACTCGCTTGAGCCTCTGTACTGTTTATGGAGGAAAGCCTACAGACAGGTGTAACCCTAAACCCTACACCCTAAACCCTAAATTTCCTAGAGCACTCCAAGCCCCTACTATTTGAGCACGAGGGCTCTAAATCTATAAGCCAATACCGCTGATCTATCGCACTTCAGCCCCAAATTCATGCAAGCTACAGAACTCAAGAAAGCCACATGAATTTATGTAAGTTGACTTGAAGTTTTTGAGTTCCAGTCGTGAAAAAGTTCTTGGGCACATTATGGCTGTTATGGCATCTAAGACGCCGCCTTGGAGCCAGTGGATCCCTATGGCTTAGGGTTTAGGGTTTAGGGTTTAGGGTTCAGGGTTTAGGGTTTATATACTAATCGTATATAATCCAGATAAGTTTGTCGATCCCCACGGCCCCCTTAAACCCCTGTAGTGACCTGGCAACAGATCCTTCTCGTGGAAAAGAAACCTTACAAGTGGTTAGCACGAAATGCTGGAAAGGATCCCTCTAGCAGCCACGAAATATCTCCCAGTCATGGTCCCTACCTCCATTCCTGATTCCCTACCTGCGGTGGTCCCTGGCTCCATGCCTCATTCCCTACTGACCACCTTTCGCCCAAAAAAGGGTTAGGATTAAGGGTTTAGGGTTTAGGGTTTAGGGTTTAGGGTTCCTTGGTTCAACACTGACAACCAGCAGGCTAAAGCCAAGGCCCCAGCAACACGAAGCCCACAGCCAGGCCAATGACCAAGCCACTGAAGGACATGACACTCACGCCCAGCTTCCCGCCGAAGGCTGCACAAGGGTTTGGGGTTTCAGATCTAGGGTTTAGGGTTTCAGGTTTAGGGTTTGGGGTTTCAGGTTTAGGGTTTAGAGTTTCAGGTTTAGGGTTCGTGGTTTCAGGTTTAGGGGTTCCACGGAAAGTTTTCCGTTTTTGGAAATCTTTGTGCCGAGGGCATAGGGTTTGGAGATTGGAAACACTAGCCTTATCTACAATAGGAACTATAGGGGACCATAGGGCCATAGGATTTTACCTGGTCATCACTTGGGCTTTTCTGACCTAAGTATCCATTCTGAGGCATACTGTTGATGGAGGAAAACTTGCACCACCTTAAGTCCCTAGAGTCCTAGGAATTACAGTAATTTAGGGCCACTGGGTGGTGCAAGATTTCATCCATCAACAATATGTCAAACCCGGTGGCTCTGGTTACCAGTTTCAAAGCCTCGCTTGGATGAAGGCTTATTTGAAGCTTCAGGGTGCGAGGGTTCATATGAGCTGTAGTCTAGCGATGCTCAGGTATGCATATGACAAGACACTACGGAGTATGTAGGAGTTAATAAGAAAAGAATAACAGGAAAATTGGATGATGCAGGGGTTCAGGGTGCAGGGGGTGGGTAGGTATATTACGAAACTCTACTGCTATGCATTATGGGAATTATTGGCGTACGTGGGATATCACCTGTGCATAAGTTGAATGCTTTCCTACTTAGATTCCGGGGAACATGCACAATCGAAGGGCATCACCCACCCCAAACTCTAAACACTCTAAGCTTGTGCTTTTATAAGCACCAATGGGAAAGCTGTTACTCCCGTCCCCAACGCCCCCAACACCCCAGTATTCAATATTCCCATTATGGGACCATCAGCCAAAAAATCACACACATTGTGTTTTTTCAGTCTTGGGGGTGGAGGGCATTAACAAAAATCAACCATGGCTTCTTAAGATTTGGGGGGGAAGAAGTTGGCAGTAGGATTTTTGGCAGGCTGGTTTAGAGTTGAGGCTTTGGGGTTCATGCACCTACTGAGGGGCAGGGCCCTGAGTGTGACTTAGCGGTCCTTTCCCTGTGAGCTATCCTAGGGTTTAGGGTTTAGGGTTTAGGGTCTGAGGTATGAAGGGCATTCAAATGGTGAGCTCTGCCCCCTGCAGAAAGAAGCACCACTTTGAAATCCTTTTATCAATGCGTTTTACTGCATTGGGCGTAATTTGCCTGGAATGAGAACGTGGCACAGAAGTGAGCTACATAGTGACCGCGATTCAGAAAAGCTACAAGGACCCATTCCCTGCGAGAAGCCTGTTGGTGGAGGAAGTATCTCAGGGTCATGCAACCACATCATAAACTTTGCAAAAGGAGCCCTGCAGGTGAAAGTAGCCCGTGAAGCATACCTCTAGAAAACAACACCTCATTCATCCTCGATACCGGCAAGGAAACCTGGTTCGGGAATCTCCCATATCTTCCTAAAACACCCTTTCCGACCAAACCCACAAACCACACAAATCCACGTAGACGTCCCAAATATGTGGAATTCTCTGTGGAGTGCTTGTTTCACATGAGGGCATCCAGCTTACCTAGACCTCTCAAACACCCAAAGCAAAAGCCCGGATACCAATCATTTTCTAGCCGAAACCCCAGATACTGAACCCTCTTAAGCCTAAACCCTAAACCCTAAACCCTAAATAGTAGTTTCCATTTTCTTTTCCATCATCCCTACATAATCCCTATACAACCCTCTATAATCCCTATATGAGCCATAGTCTAAACTCCTAGTTAGTC